CTGGACACCCTGCAACAGACTTTAAATCTGATAGCGCAGGTACTGCAGCAGCAAAAACAGCAGGCCACAAGGCAGACAACTATAGAGGAGCACCTGATACAACAGCAGGTGTGGACACAAAGGAGTCACTGGGACATTAAGATGCCCAAAATGACCAAAGAGGACGACCCGGAAGCATTCTTAGGAGTATTTGAGAGGGCAGCAATAGTGGCTGAGTTGGAGAAGGCTAGATAGGCAGGACAATTGGGAGTCCTCTTGATCAGACAGGCCCAGGCAGCCTACAGGGCCATGACCCGGCTAGATGCCCAGGATTACAACAAAGTAAAAGGAGAAATATTAAAAAGACTTAACATAACGCCAGAGAAGCACTGCCATGCATTTAGAGGCAGAAAGAGAAAGGAAGAAAGGGTACCTCGACTTTTCTGGCAAAATTTGATAAACCTCTTAAATAAGTGACTTAAACCCAAAACCGCTACCAAAGAAGACATATGTGACCAAATACTGTTAGAACAGTTTATAACAGACTTAGAAGAGGGCACTCAGAGATGGGTAAGGTGCCACTGCCCTAAGTCTTCATGTGAAGCCCTGCAACTGGCAGAAGACTTCGACATGGCTCAAGAAGAGACCCATCGGGATTGAGGCACGCGAGGAGCGAGCTATATGCGGGAGGCAGACCGAAAAGGCGAGAGAGAGGGCAGAGAAACCCAGAAAGGAAGCCCAGCTAGGCCAATCTGTTTTAATTGCGGTAGGTGGGGCCATATACTTCAAGAGTGTTCCCGAAGCCCATGGGTGACTCCAAGGTCAAGAGAAGTCAAAGTAGAACACGCTGACCTTTGAGCAGGATCTAGAGAAGGACACGAAACGGAGATGATGGATTGCAGCATAGGGAACAGCTTAGTAGGGAAAGTACAACACTTACCCCAGGTGACCGTGTGGGTGTAAGGCCGGCCAGTACAAGCTGTAGTTGATACTGGATGTACTCAATCCGTTGTCCGACCGTCACTGATATCATGGAAACAAACACCAAGGTATGCTGGTGTGAAGATGGTTTGCCTCCACAAGCAAAAAGCCTATTATGAAAGACGATTATTACACTTACAGGTGAAGGGGGTTGGAAGAAGGATCCCAGTGGGGTTAGAGGAAGAAATTTTATACCCCATGATATTGGGTCGGAACTGGCTGGAAATTTATGAAATAATAGCCTCACTCCGCAGCCCTGAGGACACTAAAGAAGGGACTAGTAGGGGCCGACATAGGAAGAGACAAGGAACTGGATGTAGAAAGGTTTGCCAGTATCAGTCAATTCTGAGAAGCCCAGGAGAATGATGAGGAACTTAGGGCGTTGCAGGAGGCTGACCAGGGGAAACAAGACCAACAGGTAACCCACCCCAATCAAAGTAAGCCAGTGCCACGGTGTGAGGTGTGTAATGGGTTGATGTATAGGATTAGGAGGGGTAAAGCTGAAGGGGAGGAGGTTGCCCAGTTAATTATACCCAGACCCTATAGAGTACAACTTCTGCATTTAGCTCATCGGAACCCACTGGGGGGACACCTTGGTAAGACTAAGACTGAAGCCCGCCTAACTAGATGGTGTTTCTGGCCTCATATGTACAAGGAGATAGAAGGATTCTGTCGAGTCTGTGACATATGTCAAAAGGTGAGCAATTATAAACCCCACAAGGTGTCCTTGCAGCCTACGCCAGTAGTCAGAGAACTCTTCACCAGGGTTGCCATAGATCTAATAGGCCCTTTACCCCAGAGTGCAGCGGGACACCAGTTTATTTTAGTGTTAATAGATTATGCCACCCGGTTCCTGGAGGCTATCCCATTGTGAGCCGTGACAGGACCAGGAGTGACAGATGAACTCATGAAATGGGTGGCGAGGGTTGGTATTCCAAAAGAGATCATTACTGACCAAGGATCCAATTTTATGTCAATAGTGCTGATTTCAGTGTGTGAAGTTCTGCAGATCTGTCATTTAAAGGTGGTGGTGTACCATCCACAAACGAACGGCCTAGTTGAACGCTTTAATGGTACCCTCAAGGGGATGTTGCGTAGATGTGCCCAGCTAGAGCCAAGGAAGTGGAACCTGCTGGTGCCACCTTTGTTGTTTGCAATAAGAGATGCCCCACAAGCATCATTAGGGTATTTGCCATTCAAGTTAATGTATGGACACTGTCCCAGAAGCTTATTGGATATTGTGAGGGAAGGCTGGGAAATGGACCCAGAGAAAGGAAGGGTAGCCTTGGAGTATGTGAGAGATTTGAAGGAACTCCTTGACATAAAGAAATACAGTTTCTCTCCAACAAAAAAAATGTTGCAGGTTTTAATGTATAAATTGGGAGCTAGTTGGGGCCATATTTTCAGTGGCCTCAAATAAACTTCTAAAGTCATTTTGAGGTCCTGCCAGTGCAAGAAGCTCTGCACAAGCAGGTCCCAGCATTTGGGCAGGATCAGACACAAATGTTGTTTGCATCCATAAATTAAGGGGACAAGCAAGGAAAGTTGGTTATATGTACTAAGAAATTTTTAAATATATATATTATGAATCCAGTCTCAAGATGTTCTGGCAATTTCTATAGCTGAGTCCTCTGTGAAAATGTAAAAATGGAAACTCTGGTGCTTGTTTGAGCATAATTGTACAGAGAGGTAACTTGAATTATAGAAGAGACCTTTTTGTTCTGATAATGCTACTGTCTCTCTCTCATTCTCTTCCTTTTTAAAAATCTTTTCTCTCCCAGTTATCCATTTCCCACAGTGTTTAGCAGCTGCAGCAAAAAGGACCTGGAAAACAGCCTGGAAAAAGGAGTGGGGATGTGTCTCTTTAACCTGCCTGAAGTTAAGGAATCATTTGGTGGACAAAAGTGCGGGAATGGCTACGTGGAAGATGGAGAGGAATGTGACTGTGGGGAACCTGATGTAAGACTGCCTCTCCTAATATCACTGCTCATCTCCTTGCTGCAGACTTTTGGTGGAGAAGGCAGGAGGGCTTGGAAATTAGTTAAAGACATGAAGGTTAATGTGTATAAAACTTGCCCTTCATCCTTTAATTTTAAACTTTAAGCATATTCCAGGTTGTGCTTATGTTGCAGCCCCTGTAAACAGCAGCGTGTTGAACAGGTGTAAGTGTGCTGTGCATGCTATTAGGCAGACAAGGTTCTTTGGGTGAATCTGATATCTTTTCTTAGACCAACTAAAATAGTTGGAAAACAATTATTAAGCAAGCTTTTGGGTTCAAAAACCCTTCATCAGGCTAAGGAAGTTTCAGCAATTTGTGTGTGCTCTTTCTGGATGGAATGAAAATGCTTCCCTTGGCTGGAAGCACAAGTAGTGGTCTCCGTTAGTCAGCCGAACCAAGGGGATCCCAAGGCATAATCTAGACCCACTCGCAATAAGTCTCCCATACTAGGTACAAAGAAAAACTTTATTGGTTACAAGGGGTAGGGTTGGAATAGAGTACAGGGTAGGGCAATATCAGAGAAATCCCATAGAGCAAACTCCCATGGCTGGGTAGCCTTTGATCACGCATCTGAGTTACTGCAAGCTATATATCTAGTTAGATCTCAGGTAGATTACTCACAAGTATCATCCAGAGGCAGTTGGGCCTGATGTGGCCTGGCTCCCCGCAGTTATAGCACCCCCTCTTTTCTGAATTGGGTGGTTTGTCCAAATCTGGGACCACATTGTGCTCAGCAGGAGGTGGCCCTCTTTCCCCTTTTGGACCTGGCCCTCCCATCCCCCCTCTTTGAAACCCTTTCTGTTCCTTCCCAAAGTAGGGAGGCTTCTTGTCCAGCCCCTCGCGATTTAGCAACAGCTGGTCCGCAATTTCAGCAACCTCTTGGCTGGTTTTGGGGGCCCTGTCTTTGACTAGGGTTTTAATCTCCCTCAGACATGAGCACACACCAACTGCTGAAACTTCCTTAGCCTGACGAAGGGTTTTTGAACCCGAAAGCTTGCTTAATAATTGTTTTCCAACTATTTAAGTTGGTCTAATAAAAGATATCAGATTCACCCAAAGAACCTTGTCTGCCTATGTTCTTAGACCAACACGGCTACAACCTACACCCCTGTGCATGCTATTAAACACACTACCTGTACCTTCTCAGATTAGATCCAAAAAACTTCAACCAAATTCATAATGGAATTTGCAGCATGGGATTCCCTCTGAGTACTAGTTGATGACTTGAAACTAGACAAAAATAGTTAATATTATCCAGATTTCTCAGGATTCTTTGTATAAGATAAAGACTTGTTTCTTGAGATTTCAAGTGACTTCCTTGCATAACCTAAATTTATACCAGAAAATATGCCTCTCAGCAAAACTGCTTCAGTTTTCACACTGAACATATTTCCCATTTTGGTTACCCTACTAATAATTAGAAATAATTATTTCTATTTCCAAAAACCCTATTTCCAAAAACCATGAGCGCTACCTTTTCAAAGATCATTCACTTTAATTCTGCAAATATTTCAAAGAACAGCTAGAATCAAGGGAGGAGACAAAGAACTGAGAGTAAAATAATGTCACTTCAGACATCCTTAATTCCTTTGGTTCAGTATTCATTGGTCATGTTGAACTTCTCCCAGATTATCAGAATTAAATGTATCAGCAGATGAGGTATTTGCCTCCTCTGATAAATATGGCACCACAGAAAAAAAATAAATGGGGCAGTTAAAACAGCAAGAGATTGCTGTAGCCTTTCCACATAGTATATTGACTTTATACAAACCATAAGCACTTCCTGACAGCTCACTCATTCTTCAGGGTAACAGGGTTGGAGAAGTAGGCTTATCTTCTTATTTAAAGTCAATAGAGTGCAAGTAGCTTGCAAATATCTTTCTAACCCAGTTATCTTTCTCATTTTCACTTTTGAATGTTAGTGACACCTTTTAATGTCAAAGCCACTTAGCGTCAGTAAGCAGTGACTTGATCTGCTTCTTCTTTGTATGTTTTCTCAAGTATCTTAGAAAATCGTGACCCAGGCACAATTAATTTTACCCTGAATCTTCTACTGCAATCTGAGAGACACCAGCAAATCTGTTAGATTAGTAAATGTTTCATTAGGAAACTCATTTAGACCAGTATCAGTAGGTCAATACCAGTGCAGTGCTTTAAAGCCCTAGGCATCATTCACCCTTATATGTGCTGCTAGAGTTTGCTGGGCATGGTAGGTTTTTATTCATTATCAAAGTTAAATATCGCTACAAATAAAGATGCCCCTACTAAGCATTTTGCCCAATGACTTAAAATAATTTTATTTTGGCTTTATTTGCTTTCCTTTGTCCAGAATTAGAGCTTCGTTTAGAATCATAGAAAAGTAGGGCTGGAAGAGACTTCACATGGTCATCTAGTCCAGCACTCTATTGACTTTAAACAAGAAACATCCCTGACTAAAATATCCCAGCCAAGTCTAGGCTGGTCTTGAAAATTTCCAGGGATGATGATTCCACAATTCCTCTAGATAGCCAGTTCCAATGCCTGACCACCCTCATGGTCAGCAAGTTCTTCCTGCTCTCCAACCTAAGTCTCCTCTGCTGTAGCCTGATGCCGTTGCTCCTAGTCCTGGCCCCTACAACCAGAGAGAAATGTCTCTCTCCACTGAGGTATTTGAAAACATACCACCTCAGTCGTCTTTTCTCCAAACTTAAAAAATCGTAGTTTTATTCAGCCTGTCATCATAAATCGTGCCTTCCAGGCCTCTAATCATTTTCATTGTTTTCTGCTGAACTCTTTCCAATCTCTCCATATCTTTCTTGAAGTGTGGGCCACAAAACAGGACACAGTGCTCCAGATGAGGAGCTGAAGAGTGGAAGAAACTTTCCCTTCTGCAAGAAACACTCCTGTTAATACAACCCAGTATCTTATTGGACTTTTTTTTGTAATGAACACACTGTTGGTTCATATTCAGCACATGGTCCACTGTAACTCCCGGGTCCGTGCCTATAGTACCACAGTCTAGCCAGTCTTTCCACAGTCTATTTGTGCCTGCAATTATTCAATTCCAAGTACAGGACTTCAAACTTGTGCTTGTTAAAATCCATTTGATTGATCTCAGACCATTTATCCACTTTATTTAGGTTATTTATTCTAAATCCTAACCCTACCCTCCAGAGTGTTTGCAGCTCCAACCAAATTGGTGTCATACAGACATTTGCTAAGCGTGCACTCAATCCCATGGTTCAAATAATTAATGAAGATGTTAAATAATAGTGGACCTAAGACATACCCCTGGGGAACACCACTTGATACCTCCTCCCTAGAGGTGACTGAGAACTAGAGGATGCAAGATTGAACCATTTATGACTGTTCTTTGAGCATGATGATCCAACCAGTCATGTACTAGCCTTACAGTATTTTCATTTAGTCTGTATTTTCTTAGCTCATTAATGCAACTGTCATGGGGACAGTGTCAAAAGCCACACTAAGCTCAAGAAACATCCACTGTTTTTCTGCCATCCACAGAGCCTGTTACCTTATCATAGAAGGAAATCAAGTTAGTTAGGCATCTCTTGCTCTTAGTGAATCCATGCTGCTTAGTCCTGATTTATGTCATGGATATAAGAAATATGTGCACTACTTGTTTAACAAAAAGCAGATTGGATTTATGGCTCTGTGGGACCCTTAACTAAAACCATAAGGTCATTAATCTTCAGGATCCTCAAGAAGCATTGCTCAGCCTATTAACAGTAGCAGTCCCACCCTTGCAGCCTTCCCATTGTAATGACAAAAAGCCAAATCTAGCTCAAGACTGATGCCAATGGTAAGTCTGCAACATCAATCATTGTAGCCTGTATTAAGATTCCTAGAAAAACTTTGCTATTGAGCTGGCTGCAGAGGTACTATGTGTAACACCTGCTTCTTCCTTCTCCTTTAAAAGGAAAACATGTTTGAAGGAGATCATAGAAAATATGTGAGGTATGCAAAGATCACTAGAAAAATCAAGAGGTTTGCTGAAGACCACATGTCCTTCAGACAGTGCAGGAAATGAACACACACCGTTTTTTGATAACAAAACATTATGTATCTCAGAAACAACTACCAGTTGCATGATGCTGGACTTGTTGAAGTATGTCTGGCTGAGATGCTATCATAAAAAGACACTAAGAAACAAAAATGCCAGTTTTTCTATCTTCTCCAACAAGCAGTGTATCAAAGTAGCAGCTGGGGTTTGTCACCTCCCATATGTCCCCCAGCCCCAAACTGTCTTGCTAGCAATTTTGTGTTTTGTTTTTTTAAACACAGCCATGATAATTTTCTAGCCCAGGCACAAAACCCAGTTGGCTGCTTTTCTTCATGATAAAAAATGGTTGAGCAAGTCATTAAAATTTTGCAAGGCTGCGGTAACTTTGTTCTTGAGCTTTATCCTATCCTTGACGTTTCCATAGTGTTTTCTTTTGATTTCCATGGGACTTTCTTCATATAATTAGAGGGCAAGATATGTCTAGGTTGTGTCCATTTCCAAGCTGCTTTAGAAGGCTAACATTCACATCTCCCTACTGTATTCTGATTTTCCCAACGTTGCTCATGGGGTGAATGTATAAATGTCAGGCTTTTGTATATGCTTTTTTGTTACGTTTTTAACAACAGCAGCTGCACAAAAATATTGACTTGGATGGCATATTGCCTTGAGCACTACTAGAAATAGTCACAGTGACCTTCTCCTGCCTGTTTCTGTGTGGAGTTTTATATATACCAGCACAGAATATCTGAGAACACAGAGAAATGCTGACATTTTCTTTTTCATATTTGTGAGTATGGTGATATAACCAGGTAGCCTTATCTTCTGGTTGAAAGGCTCTTTAAAAGCCAGCAGAGTAACAGTAGGCTGTGAACATCATTCTAACCTAGTTATTTTTCCAGTATTCACTTCACTGTTAGTGATTCCTTGTTAAGTCAGATTGACTCAACACCGTTGAAAAGCAGTTTTATCTGCTGCTGTTTTTTGTTAGGTCTTAGAGCACTGTGATTCATGTGAAATTGATTTAACTTGCAATTCATGAGTATAATCTCAGAAAGGCAAATCTATTACTTTTGAAAGTTCTTACTGACTCAGTCTACTGAGAATAAAGTTGTGAAAAACTACTTGTAAGAGAAAGTCCACAATCTGATCCACCGGTGTGAATTGGGAATGTATGAGTTAGTCATTATGCAGTTCATGTTTTTCAGGATACCCTGGTATAAGATCCCACTGTACTTGCACAGCCGTATAAAGTGGCATCATTATCTCTCGTTTATAATGCCCACCAGACCCTTGTGATATAGAGTTCTGGTGAACAACTTTTTTAAAAAAAGATGACTGTTAATGGTACCATTTAGCAATACGGAAGTTACTAGGTCAAAGCCTCACCCAGGGCAACATTTTGCTGGACATAGTGCACCTAACTGATTTGCATCAGCGAGACTTTGGACTTCTGTCATTCTATAAACTGTTATAATATCTTTTTAGTATCCTTGATAGAATAACTAACAATTAGGATAGGTAAGACTTAATTTTTTCTTATAAGGTAGAGCCCAGCAACCATTTTCAAGCCATGGGCCAGAACAACTTAGCTTTAGTCCAGTGTGGGCTAGGTGGCATCAGGGGAGAAGGGGAGAGGCGGCTTTTCTGGGAGCATAACAGCTGGGAGCAGCGCCCATGCTGCAACTGCTTCTCCCACTTCTCTCCCCAGCTGCACTCCCTGGCTGCAGAGCAAGTGCAGCTCTAGCTGTGACGGGAAAGGTGAGGGGACAGAGATTAGTGGCAGCAGTGCAAGCACTGCATCCAGTTTCCTGGCCCCAGTGCAGACATGGGCGCAGGCAAAGCCCTGAGACTCTGCAGGCTGGATCTAGTGGCTCCATGGGCCTTATGTTGCCAGCCCTTATTGTAATATATTTGGTTGTATCAGGTATCTTTAGGATCAAGTAGTGTTATCAGTAGTAAAACGCAATTGTATTGACTTAATTAGCATCCTCTACACGTAATTAGGGGAGGAATTTGGTACTAAGAATTCCTCAGTGTTATACTGCCTTTTCCTTTGATTCCAGTGCTGAGAAGTCAGGCCAGCACTGCAGAAACTGCAGAATAGGATAGGTATTCATAAAGCTTAGCAAAGTTCCCCATTTTGTAACGTACCGTTTTGTTACCATTACAGTTCTTCCTTTTAAAACACTAGTATTTCTCTATACACCTATGTTGCTTTACTACAGTTATTTAGAGTCATATATGCTAAGGACAGAAGAGGACCATTATGATTATTTAGTCTACTTACCTCCTACATAACACAAGTCACAGGATCTCATCCAGGACTCCCTGCCTCAAGCCTATAATTTCTGGCTGAGCTAAAACATGCCTTTGAGAGACATCCACTATTGAGAGAAAGCAATAGGTTTAATTCAGTTTTTCTCATTTTCATTTGCTTCTGCCCCAGGAATGTACAAATCGTTGCTGTAATGCTACTACCTGCACTTTGAAACCAGATGCGGTGTGTGCCCATGGACTTTGCTGTGAAGACTGCAAGGTGAATTGATAGAAAGCTTTCTTTGTTGTGTTGATTGGGCAGAATGTCCTAATCTTCTTAATTTGCTGATTGGTTAGCATCCTTAAGCATTAGGGCACTTCTTTTTTATGTAAGCAATTTAAAAAAAAAAACTTTCAAACAGAGGCATTGAAGACAGAGAGCTAAATCAGGCCTCCTTAATTGTGTCTGCAGTATGTGTGGCTGTTTCAACTTGTGCATGGAAAACACTTGCATTTGCTCCTGTACACAGATTTTTGCAAAAACACATGGCTACCATGCTAGGACGGGCAATTAATATATCTTTTCTCTCTCCCATCTGAGAGATTCTTGAAGAAGTGAAATACATAGATAAATAATCGTATTAGTCCTATTAAAACTAATATGTTTAATGGTGAGTCATAAACAGCAGTAGAGCTACATAATAGAATCACAGGAAGTTAGAGTTGGAAGGGACCTTAGGGGGTCATCTAGTCCAACCCCCTGCTCAAAGCAGGACCATCCCCAACTAGATCATCCCAGCCAGAGCTTCGTCTAGCCGGGTTTTAAAAACTTCAAGGATGGAGATTCCACCACCCCTCTGGGTAACCTGTTCCAGTGTTTTACTACCCTTCTAGCAAGAAAATTCTTCCTAATATCTAATCTAAACTTCCCTTGCTGCAACTTGAGACCATTGCTCCTTGTTCTGTCATCTGTCACCACTAAGAACAGTCCAGCTCCATCCTCTTTCAAACTCCCCTTCAGGGAGTTGAAGGCTGCTATTAAATCCTGAAGACTGTGGTTAGGGGAAGCCAGCTGGTATCCTGCCACATGCATTAATATTTGCACATCACTAAGCAGCCTTTGAGTATGTGTTAGTAAAGCCTCTCAGCAGGCTGTGGCAAGTATGTGGCTGAAAGATGAAGAGGAGCAAGCCACATGCACTTTGAAAGCGTGCTTCCAAATTTTACTAATTTGCACCATTTACCAAGACCAGTCTTGAAGGACAGTCTGCTTCTTGCCTGTGTTGGTGTAATGAAAACACAAGTAGGAAGTACGACTACATACTCAGAATGGAAGTTTTCCCCAGGTTTAATAATTAAACCACTGCAAAATTAACTACTTCTAAGCTCAGATTTGAGCAAAGTGAGCCAGTCACTGGCATCTGGAAGAGGAGTTATGTCCTCTTTCCAAATGTCAGAGAACCTTCATGTAGTACACCACGTAAACTGTAGCATTGTCTGTATGTTGTCTTAGTGGTCAGCTGGTGTGGAACCAAAGAAATAAAATGTTAACATGTAATATTAATTACATTATTGTATAATTTTTATGAATTTAAATTACAGCAACTTTTTTTCTTTCTTCAGCTGAAACCAGCAGGGATTTCTTGCAGAGACTCAAGTAATTCCTGTGATCTTCCAGAGTTCTGCACTGGAGCAAATCCTCACTGTCCAGCTAACGTCTATTTACATGATGGACACCCATGCTACAGAGTAGATGGGTATTGTTACAATGGTATATGTCAGACCCATGAACAACAGTGTATCACCCTCTGGGGGCAAGGTAAGCTCTGCAAACAGGTTCCCTAACTGAGAGGCCTTCCTACTATGGAGACTTTGTAAAATAAAATTGCAAGTCTCGTGACTTTTCAAGGATTTATGATAGAATTGTGTATAGCAGGTGTGTCAAACCACAGTTGTCCTCGCAGGCAGTGGCTGTAGGTGCAGAGGTGAAGAAGGGTCCAGGAGCAGAGGTCTGGCAGAGAGGGGGTCTGGCACCCAGTGAAGGTTGTGTGGCAGGCCTCACCCCTTCCCACCCTTGAACCTCCAGTAGCTCGACAATTGCACATTGGGCCAGAGAGAGGCTCTGTTTTTACATGGGTTTTTTGCCTTTACTTGTTTCAATACTGGTTCAGTATGTTCCCGTCTTTTTCCTGTTAAAACGCTCCTGACATTGATTGATGTTATCATCAGTTATGTTTTGTTTGTTGTAAAAAGAGTGTGCCTGTCTCGTTAAGGCTTCTCAATACTGCTGCTGATTGTGGTTGATTCTGCCCCTCCACTCACTTTCCAGTTGCCTTTGCAAGCTGCCTGATTGCTTTCACATTCAGGAAAGTTTCCATTTTCCTACCCCCCAGGCAGATCCCACCACTCACTCTCCACTCCAGGCTGGGGCCCAGGGGCATTAGCAATGGGAAGCTGCTTTCCAGCCCTGACTCTGGCCAACCTCTGTCTTTATCAGGTTTCTTTTTCCTGGTTTTCAGCCCCTGTGTCTTCTTGCTTTCCTCCACCTGTCTCCCTGGCTCTTTTTCTTGCTCCATCTCCACTCCTGGTGCCTATGGGGTTTCTTCCTCCTTCTTCTCTCCCACCTACAAGTCTGAGGTTTTTGCAGTTCCCACCTCTTCTGTTTCATCTCCTATTTCCTCTTGCGCTCCCTCAGTTACAGAAATTTCATTCCCGCCCATCTCTATATCTCTCTTCTACCATTTCTATCTTGGTCTCACCCTTCTCTTCTCCCTGACTGTCCCCTTCTGATTCTGGCTGTCTAACCTTGTTTCCAAAGGCCTTTGGATACCTGCAGTACAGATGCCTCTCCTCCCCCCACAGGTAATGCATTTAAGGGGCTCCTGGCACTCTGTTGCTCTGTGCCCTCTTCCTTCACACCTGAATCATACCATATGAGGGCCATGTGCAAACAGGTGTTCCCTGCCTTGCCTCATTTGCTGTACTATTTAGGTTGCCCATGGTATATTAGAAAACCTCGATGTTCCCTCAATTGGATTATAGACAGGAGGTACTTCGACACTCCTGGGCTCCACTCATTTGCTTGTAACACTACCAGTACTTTGAACATGAAATTCTACCCACCTATGTCATCTTCCACTAATAAATCCACATATATTTGTACTATAATTACTCATTCCCTTTTCCTTTCTCCTGATATAAAACTTATCCCTCTTAATTCCTCCCTCCCACATTCCTCTGCATATTTCTTCCAAAAAATATCATACCCACCTCCATTCCAGTAAAAGATTTGCCAAGACTTTCTGTTTAGAAAAGCAAGTAAGCTAGTCAGGTGCTCTGGCTGCACCTCCAGTATTGCAAACAGTATCTTTTCTAAATAGTCTTATCTGTTTAACACTAATCTCATTTCCTTTCCATCACCAGCCAATACCAACTTTATCCACAGTCTTTCATCCTCCCTACCATCTCTCATTGTGTTTTCCATGTCTTTCCACCATGTCACTCCTGGTAGGCTGGCATGCCATCATGTTTCTGCTGTCCTCTGTCTCTCACCCAGCATACCTTTTCTTGCTGCTTCTACCCTGTCACCTGCTCATCATTCTCATCGCTTTCTTCTTCACCATCACTGCTGCCATTGTTTTTGCCTCTGCTGTTGCTCCCACTGACACTTCCTTTCATGCCCACTTCTCACCTTTGTCAACTCTCCATCTGTTTCCAGACCTTCATTTCTGCTCTTCAACTCTTTTTCCACCTCCTGCTTACCTGCCACCACTGACATTGTTTTGAGCTTCAGGTCTCTCTTCCTGCACTCCTTACACCCCAGTGTTCTGTTGATCCCTTTCTCTGCCTTTAAGGCATTAATCAGGCTTTCAGTGATGAAGGGAACCTGGAAGTAGTCTAGTGCAACCCATCTAACAAAACATT